TCATCATCATCATCATCATCATCATCATCTTCATCATTATTACCTTTACAATAATTCATCGCAGCGCCAAGCATTTTTGACACATGTTTAAAGTCTGTGCATGATATAACGTATTTATTAGGCCGTAGTGGAGGTAATTTAAAAAGAAAGAAAGAATCTGTTTAAAACAGATTTCAGCTTAGTATGAAAAATGAATTGATTTATGCATGTCATGATATTCCAGTTAAAAAATGAATATTCACCTGGTGCGAAATTCTGATTTGAAAAATTAAGTGACCTGCCTGAAATGAAATTCTAGTTAGCAAATTAGACTCACTTCTACGTGATATGAAATCTGGTATCGCAGATCAATTCACCTGTTGTAGAATTTTGTTATGAAAAATAAAGTGATTTGCATCTGCTATGGAAATATATCATGTTATACAATTTCTACATGACGTGGAATTCCGGTACGGAAAATAAGCTAATTCATTCCCGATATGAAATCATCTTATGAAAAAAAAAAAAATAATTAGCACCTGGTATGAAATTCCTGTATGAAAAATACTTTCATTTCTACTTGCTATGAAATTCTAGCATTGGAAGTTAGCCTGATACTAACTAACCCCATATGACAACCATGCACAAGAATTACTTACATCAATTACTTACATCACCCTTCCACACGACCAGTCACACTATGACTAGTGAGAGCAACAGCTCCATAGTGTGAGAAAAAATCAAATGTCTTTTCTTTCTTTTCTTTTCATGTTTCCTTGTAGTTCCTCCTTGGTTGTAGGGCAGTGGAGGTCTTAACCATTACAGACTTTCTTCTTTGCTGTCTTAGAAGTTTTGTATTACTTTAAGCCTTTCTCCATTATGGTAAGAGGGTGGGGGAAAGGAAGGCAGACAATGGCCGAGGAAAATGGCGAGAAACAGGGTGAGTCTATGAGAGAGAGAGAGAGAGAGAGAGAGAGAGAGAGAGAGAGAAGAGAGAGAGAGAGAGAGAGAGAGAGAGAGAGAGAGAGAGAGAGAGAGAGAGAGAGAGAGAGAGAGAGAGAGAGAGAGAGAGAGAGAGAGAGAGAGAGAGAGAGAGAGAGAGAGAAAGAAGAGAGAGAGTGATAAGAGAGAGAGAGAAAGAGAAAGGAGAAGACAGACAGATCGACAGTCAGACAGGCGGGCAGAGAGAGAGAGAAGAGAGAAGAGAGAGAAAGAGAGAGAGAGAGAGACAGACAGAGATAGAGAAAGAGAGAGACAGACAGAGACAGAGATAGAGACAGAGAGAGCAAAAGATTGAGAGAGATATAGATAGAAAGACAGATAGAGATAGAGAGAGAGAAAAAAAAAGATAGATAGATTATAGAGAGGGAAAAGATAGACAGATAGATTAGAGAGAGAGAAAAAAAGATAGACAGATAGATTAGAGAGAGAAAAAAGATAGACAGATAGATTAGAGAGAAAGAAAGAGCACGAAGGGAGAAAGGTCGAGGCCCGTCAGCTCTGAAATGAATGGACCCAGGGCGACACACGGAGAGGGAGAGCATCAGTAAGCTAATAGGCTATATATTTCCCTGGGAGTTTTTGGGAAGCTAGAATCCAGTAGGGTGTCCGAGGGAGAAACAAGAAGAAAAAAACTTTGCGATGGGGGATCAGAGTGAAATGAGAGAGGAAAAGAGACGAAGGAGAAGGGAAGAAGAAATTGCCAGAGTTAGAGATAAGGGAACAAGAGATTAAAGAAGGGGAAACCAGTGTAGGAAAAGAGGATTAGGTTATTTTGGGTCACAAGGCGTAGGAAAAAATCTTCGAGAGAATGGGCGGTCAGTGGGATTAGCGGAAGAGATTACGTGGGTTGTTGTTGCTGTGTCTTTGCCTTGTTGAATTCTGCATGTGCAAGATTGCAGTGGATGCACATACATGTTCAGACCGATAGTTAGATAGGTAAGCAGAAACGCATAGATATCCATTTATTGCTTGTGCCTGGTTACACACATACATACATACATTCATACATATATACACGTACATATATACACACATACATAAATTCATAAATGATAACAGGTATAGACACATACGTACGTACGTGTATGCTTAGGTCTAGTTAAGCAAACATTATACATATATATATATATATATATATATTATATATATATATATATATATATATATATATATATATATATATATATATGCCCTTACGTACGTAAATATTTACAGTACTTATACACATACATACAGGCGTACATACCTGTGTGTGTATGTGTGTGTGTGTGTAATGGTAATAAAATCATATTCCTCTTCCTACTCTATATCTTTAAATTTAAATATTATACATTATACTTAATACAAAGATGGATAGATAAACATTTATCTACGTTGTCCCATACCTCGTTTTCATACTGTTCATCATCTTAAGACGCACAACGCGTTAAGTTAAGCAGACAACAAATATATATACTCTATGTCCCATCAATGCACCGTGAAATCAGCGTATGTCAAGGGCCTTTTCCTCCTCCCGCAGGCTGGTTGGGGAGTCTGTCCACCTCGCTCGCCCTGCTCCTCTCGCCTGTGACCATCGCCGTGTGCAAAAGGAACTCCACCCGCCTCACAGCCGTGTTGGGCGGCCTCATCACCGCCCTCGGCTGCCTCTTCACCTCCTTTGCCAGCCAGTTCCATCAGCTCTTCTTCAGTTACGGGACCGTCATAGGTGAGTTGTAATGTGATACGTGTTTGGGATAAATGATTTTTGGGGAGATGATTTTATAGGAGGGAATTTACAAACCTTTTATCGGAAATCTAATTTGTGTAGGGTCAGTGAACTTGATTTTCTTGGTTTTGTTAATATATTTCTTGTTTGGTTTACTCACGTTTCTTCTAGAATAAGGTAATTTATAGCGGCGTTATCCTGTAGAGTACTGAGTCTTCCATGTAGACGGTCGCCTTTGCCTGAGTAATTTTATGAAGATAGTTGGCTTTCCCTTTCCCTGTGGCCGTTGTGTCGGATCAGGGCGTGACGCGTTTCTTTCATGGATTTATATCCAGATGTACGCCCTCAAAGGGTCTCGTTTGTCATCCGCAGAAGCCTCCTTGTCAATGATACTGGCTTTTTCTCTCGGGTTGATGTTCCAGAACGCATGTGAGTTTCTGTCATGTCGTCATGTAAGTGGGCCATAAGAACAAGCATAAACTCTTGTCGCTTGTTGAGCTCGCCCTTCGCAGCCCCTCTGTCGCTGGACAGGGAACTCGGGTTGTGAGTGAGAGTTTAGAGAGAGAGGGTGGCAGGCTACTAATTGATTTAGGCAGTGAGGAACAGTTTCAAGGAGGGATTTTAGGATGTTTGAGACGGTGCGTCCTCCAATACTCGATTTAAGTTGTGACTGAGAGTTTCAAAGGATAGTTAATGGAGGGGGGAGACCGCAGGCCCATCGACTTTTTTTTAGGTTGTGAATGAGGGTTTATTTTACAGTCAGCCGTTTTGCATGGTTAATTAAGCCAGTCCTTTGTCTTTCAAGATTATCAATTACACTGTTACATGTTTTTTTTTTCTGTTGCTGTGTTTTGTAAAGAATTAAATAGCCTCCTATACTAAGGCGAAATGGGGACCCGGGGGCGAAAGAGTCTGACAGTCGATGGAGAAAATGAGTGAGAAGGGACGGCATGATCTCCGCTGCCCGACTTTCTTTTTTCGGCCATGAATAAGAAGTTCGATGGAGAATAGGGAGAGGAAAGGGACTCCGCTATGAGACTTAGACTGTGAATGAGATTTCCGAGGGAGAACTGGAGGAGGAAACGGGACGGCCGGGATGAGGAGGAAGCGTGTCACCGCTGCACTCAACTTGCCTCACATCCTGGACGCTCACGGGAGCTGGACGGCGCTCTTGTGTCGCAGTGCAGTAGACAAGTGTGTCTTTGGGAGCCATTAAGACCGGCTCATCTATTTTTTTTTATGTCTACGTAATTCTTTTAGGGTATTTACTAACACAATAGATTCCAGTTTCATGTAGGTTCTGTAGTTTTATGAACAGCAATCACTTGTTATGATACAGAAATCTCGTTTCTATTGGTTATAATTCTCTTAATGTCAGCGCATTTCCATTATTATCAAACCCTTCTAGTTTCCCCAACGCTCCTAAGAAGACTGGAATCAATGGAAAGAGCGGATTTAGGTTCAGAATTTCTGCATTTTCCTCCAAGCAAGAGGAACTGTAGACAAGATTTCGATAATCATCACAAAAAAAAAAACAAAAAAAACCTTCTTAGTAGGCCTATGTTCTCCTCGAGGATATTCGTCCATCAGGTTGGAAACTTACCTGGCCAGATTTTCAAGTTTTTGCTTTGATCGTTCTTTGATGCCATTATGGGGGATCCTTCGTGGTTTTAAGCAGCCTTCTCTCGTGTACCATGAGAAGTATCCAGGGTTCCGCCACGAAGTAATGCACTTGTTGATATTCCCAAAGCATAGTAGTTTTCCTCGCTCGTATATGAAGACAAGGTGTGAACGAGAATGAATATCCTCAAAACACAAGAGATGTATTTGATCGATTTCGAATACATCCTCGTCAGTTATACAATATAAGAAATGTATGTGACCGGTCAAAAATTTAATATAAGAAATACGTTTTATTTGACCGGTCAGAAATACAATATAAGAAATGTACTTGACCGGTCAGAAATACAATATAAGGAATGTAATTGACCGGTTTCGAAAAGGTCTTCGTCAGAAATACATAAATTCCTGATGAAGATATATATGAAATAGGTTAAATACATCTCTTGAATTGTGAAGATATTCATTCTCATTCATACGTTTTATACACTTGTCAACATAAATACACGTTTTTTTCTCGCTCGTAGTTCCTTCCTGATCTCTTTCGATCCTGCATTTTTTTTTTTTTTTTTTTTTTTTGTCCTAGAATAACTTCCTGTGCCTTCATTGTTACAAAAAAGCGCTACAACAGTGGAAGTTCTTTTTCTCTTTTTGTGAAAGCGTTTTTGGCTCTGTTGCATTGTTATGTAGTTCT